CGGCGGTTTCGCCGGCGCCGCCGCGAGCGCCGGCGCCGCGCGGCGGCCGCGGCCGCCGTCGTCGAGGACCGCGCCCTCGGCGGTCCGCGCGAGCGCGTGCGCCGCGGCGTTGTAGACCGCGCCGCCGCCGTTGGCGAAGACGAGGTAGGAGTGGCAGCGGCCCTCCGTGACCTTGCGCAGCGTCGCCAGGCCCGCCGCGGCGAGGCGGTCGACGGCGCGCTCGACGGCCTTGGCGGAGCCGTGGCCCAACGCCTTGGCGACGCTCGGGATCGTGCACCCGCGCGCGCCCGACGCGGCGACGAGCTCGTGGACGAGCGTCGGGGCGCCGCGGTCGGCCCGCGGCGGCGCCGCCGGGCCGGCGGCCGCGGCCGCCTCGCGGCTCGCGCCGACGCACCTGTGTGGAATTCAACGACTGGTTTGGGGGGTCCCCACCAAACTTGAGAACTCTCTATCTCGGTCAAGTCGACGTCGATTTGGCTGATTTTTGGACGAATCGATTGCTCTCGTCGAGTTCTCGAAGCACATCCGAAGAGCTTGCGTCGAAACTGTCGCATATACGCACATTGAAGTCGGGTTGAAGATTTGATTTGCTCGCGCCGACGCACCAGAGCTCGCGCGGCGCGCCGTCGCCGCGCGACACGTTGCCCACGAAGAAGCAGAGCGGGAAGCCGAAGAGGCGGTTCGCGCGCTTGCAGTGCTCCAGCGCCGCCGCCGTCTTGCAGGCGCCCAAATCCGGCGTCGCGCCCGGCACGCGCGCCTGCACGCGCGCGACCGCGCCGCCGTCCTTGAGCCGCGCCCACGCGTCGCAGAACGCGACGGCGCCGCCCGCGCCCCCGCGGCAGGCGTCCGCGCCGGGGTCGAAGGTGGCGATGGACGCGTGGGCGTCGCCGAGCGCCGCGTGCTCTAGAACGACGTCGACGAGCGCGCGCTTCCACGCCTCGGCGCCGCCGGCCTCGCACGCGTGCTCGAAGCGCGCGAGGCGCAGCAGGTTCGCCGTGACCTTGGACGTCTTATTCGCCGTGACGTCCGTGCGCGTGCGGAGGCGCTTGCTCGCGAGGCCGTCGAGGCAGAGCTTGTCGAGCGCCTGCGACTCCGCGGCCGCGCCGCGGCCGCGCTTCGACTGGTCCTCGCGCGCGCGCAGGCGCTGCTGGAGCTCGCTCAGGCTGCAGCCGGCGCGGCCCGCGCGGCCGAGCTCCTCGAGCGCCGCGAGCTCCGCGCCGTCGACGACGCCGCGCTCGGGCACGCCGAGGCACCGGAGCCGCTCCGCCTCGGACGCGACGACGACGTCGCCGGCGACGGCCGCGCGCGCGCCGCGCGCGCCGGACTCGAGGACGCGGGCGACGGCGCGCCGCTGGGGCGCGAGGGCCGGGGCGTCGAGGCCCACGGCCGACAGCAGGGCGCCCAGGGCGACGCCGCCGGGGCCCTGGAGCGCCGCGTGCTCGATGGTGAAATCGACCCACTCGTGGGCCGTGCGCGGCGGCTCCGGGGCGCCGAGCAGGGCGTGGTTCATGGCGGCGCGATGCGTACGCGTGTGTGTTAGTGTTCTCGGCTCAGTGCGGGCGCGGCGCGAGTGCGGGCAAGGCCATCGGGCGCGGCGCGCGTCGTCGCAGTCGGCGGAGCAGCTCGTCGAGCTGCTCGATCGGCCCGATTTCATTGAAGTCCGCGATGGCTCGACACCGACTGCAAACGCTCGCGGCCGCCGCCCTGCTGGCGTTCGCCAGCGGCTACGCGCCGGTCTCCATGGGCTTGAACCTGCGACGAGGCCCGCTGCGCACGCGCGCGCCGGCCGCGGCCCCGCTGCGCGCGCCGACGCCGGCCGCCGCGCCTTCGCCGACGAAGAAGCGCGTGCGCCTGCGCCGCGCCGCCGCGCGCGTCGGCGCCGCCGCGGGGGCGCTGCTCGCCGCGACGCCGAAGGCCCTCGCCGCGGGCGGGGCGCTCGTGTCGCCGGCCGTCGTCGAAGCCGCCGCGGCGGTCCGCGCGGCCGTGCAGCCCGGGTCCATCCAGGACCGCATCGTCACGGACCACATCACCCTGCTGACGACCGTGCTCCGCGAGGCGCAGGTCGCCAAGTTCAAGGCCATGCGCAACCTCCTCGGCGGCGGCGCTCTATTCGCGCTCGTCTTCGGCGTCTTCATCCGCATCTCGACGAAGCGGTCGGAACGGCTGCTCCGGGAGCGGGAGATCGAGATGTTCGGCGAGTACCGCGACGCGAGCACCATGGTCGCCGACGACGACGACGACGACGAGGACGACGACGAGGACGACGAGGACGACGGGAAGAAAAAGTAGGCGCCGGGGCCGCGCGCTCTAGCCGCGCGCCGCGCGGAGACCGGTTAGAGCGCCTCTCGAGCGGCGGGCGGGGGCTGATGCCGGCCGAAGAAGCGGAGTCCGCGACTCTTACACGGCGCGGCCCGCCGGCCTCGCGCGCGGCGTCGGCGCGGCGCCGCTAGGTGCCGAGGGACCCGTAGCCGGGGATGCGTTCGATCTTGGCGAACTCCCACTCCTTGTTGCACAAGGGGCAGACGGACCGCGTCTTGAGCCAGCGCTGGATGCAGTCGAGGTGGAAGACCTGCGCTCGGGCGTCGGCGGCGGCGCGCGCGCGCGCGGGACGGAAGACACGTCGAGACCCGGCGGGCGCGCGTGGCCGCAGCAGCCGAAGGCGATGGACAGGCCGTTCTCGTTGTTCGGCGACGGGTTCGCCTGGTACTCGATGGACGGCTCGTTGAGCGAGTTCCGGCAGATGGCGCACGTGTCGGCGCAGATGTCCCAGCTCCACATGCACACCGCGTTCCACCTGCGCGTCGCGGTGCGCCTCGCCGGGCGCGCGCCGCGGGGCGCGGGGCGCCGGGGGCGCGCTTCTTGATCTCGAAGCGCGGCGGCGGCGGCGCGTCCTTGTTCGGCGCGGGCTCGTCGACCTCCATGGTCGCGCTCGTCCTAGAGGTTCCGGGGGTGGGCGCGCGAGCGCCGGCGGTCGCGAAGGCGGGGACCGCGCCGCGGGACCGCGCGGCGGGCGCAGGGGCGCGGCGAAGGCCTGCTCGAGTCGCGAGGCCCAGCAGGGTTTCGAACGAGACGAGGCCGTCGAGACCGCGAGCGCGCGCCTCGCCCGGGGTCGGTGCGCGAGCGCTGGCGAACGCGGGACGCGGGACCGTGCCGAGGGACCGCGCGGCGGCCTTGGGGCGCGGCGAAGGCTGCTCGAGTCGTTCGAAGGCGCGACCACCCTGGAGCCGCGAGGCGGTTCGAGACGCCGGCGAGACGCGGAGTGGTGCCAGCAGAAGTGCTCGCGCCGTCGCTGCGCGTGCGCGGGGGGAGCGCTCCACCGGGCCGCGCGGCGCGTCCGGACGCGCCCGCTCCCCTCGAGACGCGCGCCGTCCCACAAAACTGGTCGACCGCTCCTCGAAAACACAGCTCCAACCCCCATGTCCTTCCTCTGCTGCTGCTGCCGCAAGTCGAGCGAGGCGCCGGCCTTCGAGCTCGGCGTGCTCGACTACCCGCTCGTGCGCCTCGACCGCAACGGCGGCGACGTCAGCGTCGAGTCGTCGGCCACGGGCGACGCGCTCGGCGGGTCCGGCGTCGCGTACACGAGCACGGCGATCGAGCAGGACGCCGCGTACTGGGAGCTCCACGTCGAGGCCGCGGGGCCCTTCCGCGTCGGCGTCTGCCGCGAGCTCGGCGAGGCCCAGCTCGGCGGCGAGCTCGGCGACGGCCAGACCTCCTGGGCGCTCGACAGCGCGGCGGCCGGCGCCGTCGAGGGCGACGTCATCGGCGTCGCCTTCGGGCAGGCGGAGCTGCCGAACCTGAGCTTCTTCCTCAACGGCGAGCTGCTGGAGCACGGCATGGTGAACCGCATCCGCGGCGAGGTCTTCCCCGCCGCGAGCGTCACCGGCGGCGCGAAGCTCCGCTGCGTCTTCGACGAGGCCAACTTCGAGCACGCGCCGCCGCGGACCCACTCCGCGCTCCGCGTGACCCAGAACATCATCTAGGGGCCGCATTTAATAATTCGTCGCGGGGCACGCGTCAGTCGCTCTCGTTCCAGGACGCTTCGCTCTCGAAGTGGAACGCGATCGTGACGCCGCCGAAGTCCGCGAGCGCCTCGGGCGACGCGTCGTGGAGCCAGTTGGCCCCGGCGAGCGCGAAGCCCGCGCCGCGGTAGGCCGCGCACTCGCCGGTCTCGTCGCGGCCCGCGTAGCCGAGCGCGAGCTCCGTGAAGGGCGACTCCGCGTCGCGGAACGTGCCCTTGCCGAGCACCGAGTGGCCCGGCCGCGGCCGGTTCAGCGCCACGGCCTCGACGGCGCCCCGGCCCGGCTCGTCGTAGGCCTCCCAGGCCCGCGTCGCCGCGATCCACGCGCAGAGGCCCGCCGGCCGCGCGATCGCCGCGACGCGCTCCGCGCCGAAGGCGGCCATCTCGACGGCGACGGTCTTCGCCAGCGTCGCCATGACGTGCGTGGGCACGCTCGCCGCCCGCGGCGCCGCCTGGAAGATCATCGCGTTGTCCTGGCCCCGCCACAGCGCCGCGCGCGTCGTGCCGAGGTGCGCGGGGCCGTCGTCGCCGGCGAAGAGGTGGACGCTGTACGCGTAGACCTCCGGCCCGCCCTTGTCGCGCTGGGGCTCGCCGATGCGCGACACCTCGACGTGCGCGGCCTCGACGCGCGCCGCGAAGGCGCCGCCGAGCGCCGCGTCGCCGTCGACGGCGGCCAGGAAGGACGGGTCGTTTATGAATTTGCGCAGCGCCGCGTCGTCGCTGGCGGCGATGGCCGCGGACGTGAAGGAGAATTGGCGCCGCGGGACGCGGCGCGCGAGGCGCCGCGTCGCCGAGAGGAGGCGCATCGCGGCCATAGCCACCCGACCTGGGCTAAAGTTTCGGCAGCATTGATGTGTCGTTGGAGCCGGCACAGGGTGGGGCACCAGCCCGGCCGCGGGGCAGCCCGCGCGCCGGGTCGTCGTCGCCGAGCATGAGCGCCGACGTCGAGGTCGACGAGCCGGCGGGCGTCTTCGCGCAGACGTTCCTGCTGCTGCCCGGCGGCGACGCGGGGAGCGGCGGCGGCGGCGGCCGCGTCTTCGACGCCGGCGAGGCGTCCCTGGGCCGCGTCGCCGAGGCCATGCTCGCCGGCGCGGCGCCGGGCGTCGGCGAGGGCGCCGGCGGCGTCGGCGACCCCGTCGTCGCCGCCGTGCACGACGGCGTGCCCGCGCTCTTCGCGGTCGTCGGCAGCACGGACTCGGGGAAGCGCGAGGCGTTCTGCGGCGGAACGGGCGGCCGGGGCCTGCGCGGCGGCGGCGGCGGCGGCGACGGCGGGCTCTGCGGCTTCGTCGCCGAGGCCGTCTTCGCCGCCGCGAAGTCCCGGGACGCGCGCGGCGGGGCCGCGAAGGCCGGAGCCCGCGCCGGAACCGACGTGTCTCGCGGCCGCTTCGGACGCGCGCGCGCTCGGCCGCGGGTTCTGTTGCGGACGAGTCGGCTTTCGCGCGTCGCGCGCGGAACACCGAGCGCCCCAATTCCCGCGCGCAGGTCGCCGTGACGCTCCGCTGCGTCGAGTTCTACGACGACGTCGCGTGCGACCTCTTGTCGCCGTCGCCGGGCGAGCGCGCGGCGTCGCGCGGCGGCGGCGAGGCGCCGCCCGTCGTCGTCGACCGGGACGCGCGCGCCGGGCCCGTGGTGTTGGGCGCGGCCGCGCCGCGCGTGCACTCGGCCGACGACGCGCGGCGGCTCCTCCGCGAGGCGCGGGGCCGCCGCGACGCGTACGCGGACGCGGCGGCCGCGCGGGCCTGCGGCGCCTGCTACGTCGAGCTGGAGATCCACCACCTCGCGCGGCCGCCGGGCGGCGGCGCGCCGGGCGCGGCGCCGGCCGCGCGCGCGCCGTACCTCACGGACGACGAGGCGCGCGGCGGCTGGGCCCGGCACTGCGCGAGCCGCGTCGTCTTGGTCGAGTGGCCCGGGCTCGAGAAGCTCGCCGTGCCGCGGGACGCCCTCGTGCTCGGCGAGGGCAGCCACCGCCACCGCACACTCCTCGCGTTCCAGGCGTGCCTCGACGACCTCGCGCGGCCGTGCCTCTCCCGGCGCGGCGCGCCCTTCCACGCGTCCCAGCTCACGGAGCTCCTCGCCGAGGCCTGGGGCGGCAACGCGACGCTGGCCTGCCTCGCCTGCGTCGGCGCCGGCGACGCACCGCCGGTCAAAAAGGCCGCGCTCGACGCGTGCGCGGCGCTCGGCGCGTGCCGCCAGTTCCCCGTGGCCCGGCGCGCGACGCACGTCGGCGGCCTCGACGCCGCGCGGCGCACGATGCGGGCCGTCCTCGAGGCCGCCGCACGCGACGCGCGGCGCGAGGCCGCAAAGCTCCGCCGCGCGCGGCGCGGCGAGAACGCGCCGGGCGACTCCGACGACGACGAGGCCTACGGCCACGCGCTCCGGGAGCGCCTCGGCGCCCTCGAGCGCGCCCTCGCCTCCTCCCAGGAGACGGCAGCTACCGCGCGCGAGGACAGCGTCAAGGTCTACAAGGTTTTGGAGCTCTTCAAGGCGAAATACACCGCGCTCGCGGACCACAAGGCGAAGCTCGCCAAGGACCTCATCGTCGCGGAGCAGGCGAAGCTCGAGGTCGCGCGGGCCCTCGTCGACGCCAAGCTCCGGGCGAGCGACGTCGACGAGGCGAAGGCGCGCGACGCCTTCGGCTGTGTGGAATCCAACCACTGGTTTGGGTGGTCCTGACCAAACTTCAGAATTCTCGAGCTCGATCAAATCGAAGTCGATTCGGCTGATTTTTGGACGAATCGATTGCTCTCGTCGAGTTGTCGAAGCACAGCCGAAGAGCTTGCGTCGAAACTGTCGCATATGCGCACATTGAAGTCGGGTTGAAGATTTAAATTCCACACAGGCCTTCGGCCGCGAGTCCGAGGTGCTCGCGGCCAAGGACGAGGCCGCGGAGCTCGGCGTGCGCTGCGAGGAGCTGCAGGTCGCCGAGGAGCGGGCGCGGGCGCGCGGCGCCGAGCTCGAGGGCGAGCTGCGGGCCGCGCGCACCGCGGGCGAGCGGCTCCGCGCGGACGGCGACGCGCTCCGCGAGGCGCGCGACGCGTCCGAGGGCCGCCGCGTCTTAGAAGAGGCCAAGAACGTGGAGCTCAGCGGCGAGCTGCTCTCGCTCGTCGCCCAGCGCGACGCCCTGCGGAGCCGCCTCGACGACCTCGAGCGCCTGGGCCGCAAGTCGACGGAGGCGCGCGTCGAGGCCGAGACCGCGTCCGCCGACTACAGCTCGAAGAACGACGAGCTCGCCAAGTCGCTGCTGGAGACGCGCTTCGAGGTCGGCGAGCTCCAGGGCAAGTACGCCCGCGCCGAGGCGGCCCTGGAGCACGCGCGGGCCGGCGCCGAGCGCGCGCTGCTCGACCGCGACGGCCTGTGCCGAAACCAACCACTGGTTTGGGGGGTCCCCACCAAACTTGAGAATTCTCTAGCTCGGTCAAATCAAAGTCGATTCGGCTGATTTTTGGACGGATCGATCGCTCTCGTCGAGTTCTCGAAGCACAGTGAAAGAGTCTGGTCCAAATCGTTCGAATACGCTCACATTGAAGTCGGGTTGAAGATTTGGTTTCGGCACAGGCGACGGCGCGCACGCGGAAACACTGCGCCAGCGGGACGCGGAGCTCGCCGAGAGCCGGCGCTTGATGGACGAGGGTTTGGCCGCGCTGCGGACCATGCGCGACGACGAGGGCCGGGCGGCGACGAAGGCCCGCGGCGAGACGCGCGCCGCGGAGCGCCGGTGCCGCGACCTCGAGTTGAGGCTCGCGCGCGCGGGCGACGACGCGAAAACGGCCGGCGCCGCGGCCGCGGCGGCCGGCGAGCGCCTCGCCGCCCTCGAGGCCGCCTACCGCGCGCGGCTCGACGGCGACCTCGCCGACGCGCTCCGGGGCCGCGACGCGCGGACGGCCCTCGAGGCGGACGTCGCCGCGTTCCTCGGCGACGACGCGGCGTCGAGGGCGCACTACGAGGCCCTCGCGGCGTCCTTCCGCGACAAGGAGGCGCAGCTGATTTCGGACCTCGAGGCGTCGCGGGCCGCGGAGCAGCGCGCGACGCTCCGCCTGCGGCGGTCCGTCGACGCGTGCGTCGCGCTCCGCGACGCGCTCCGCGACCACGCGCCGGACGCGGCCGACGCGGTCGGCGTCGGGGACCTCGGGGCGCTGGAGCGCGGCGACCTCGACGACGTGGACGCGGCGGCGGCGGCGGCCGTCGCCGCGGACCGCGCGCGGCTGCTCCGGCGCCTCGAGGACGCGCGCGCGGCCGGCGCCGCGGACGGGTCGCGCGCGGCGGCGGCGATCCGCGAGCTCGAGCGCGCGCTCGCGGCGGAGCGCGCGGCCCACTCTTCGCTCCGCGAGGACCTCGCGGCGCGGCGCGCCGCGGGCGACGCGGCGGAGCGGGGGCGCGCGGCGGCCTGGGACCAGCGCGAGGCGCGGCTCGCCGTCGAGGCCGCCGCGCGCGAGGCGGACCTGAATTCGGCCGCCGCGGCGCGCGAGGCGGCGCTCGCCGACGCCGCGGACGCGCGCGCGGCGGCGCTCGCCGCGCTCGGCGACCGCGCGGCGGCCGAGGCCGCCGTCGAGGCGACGCGGTTCCGCGACGACGCGGGCCGGTGGCGCGCCGAGGCGGCCGCGTCGCGCGCGGACCGCGAGCGCGCGGACCGCGACCGCGCGGCCTCCGACGCGCGGCTCGCGGCGGCCCGCGAGGGCGACGGCGCGGCGCTCGCGAAGATCGAGGCGCTCCAGCGGCGCCTCGTCGACGACCTGGAGCGCGCGCGCGCCGCGCCCGCGGCCGAGGCGCCCGCGCCGCCGCGGAACCCGCCGACGCCGCCCGAGGCCGCGGACCGGCGCGCGGCGGCGGAGCGCGCGCGCGCGGCGGAGGAGCGCGCGCGCGCGGCGGCGGCGGCCGACGATTCGGCGCGCCGCGACGAGAACCGGCGGCGCCTCGCGGCCGCGCGCGACGACGTCGCGCGGCTCCACCGCGACCTCGAGGCCG